ATTTATTTATCTTATTTGCCTATTAGTGTTGCATACAAAAGATATTATATCCCAATATATCAGTAAATATAAAACGTGTTTTTGTAATGGTGAAATATAGATAAGTTTTTAAAATATTGCATATTTGCAGTTAAAAGAATTAGAAGAAGAATGGGTCAAACTACCAACGGGTGCTCCTAAACCAACTCGATTTCTGCGTTCCCAGCAAGAGCTAGAAGCTAAATTAGAACAGCAACAATCTGCTGGTGGTGATGCTGAAGGGGGTAAGCCAGTGTTAAGCTCAGGGTTCTTAAAAATTAACAAGATACTGCCCCAAGGGTATGTTTTAGTAAGCATATTTTGAAGTTGGATTTGATACTAATAATTCTGTCCCTCCTGTGTTAGGATTTCTGTCTGTCTGTCTCTCTCTCTCCCTGTATTTTAGTACAGGGTCTTACTATGTAGATCAGATTTGTAGTAATCCGCCTGTGTTCAGCCTCCCAAGTGCTAGGATTACAGGCGTGTGCCTTCATGCCCAGTCTGAATTGCCACGCCCCAGGGGCTGGGCTGGCACAGCACACCAGGATTGAATGCCAGGCCAGCTGTAGCACTTTGCCTAAGCAGGTGCTTTAATCCATGAGCTATTTGGCTGACCCCTCCCTCCCTTTCTCTTTTCTTTCTTTATTTCATTTTAAAGAGAATTTTAAAAATCAATTTTAAAAAATACAGAATTCTAAACCAAAATAGGAAAAAAACCGTGGTTGTTATATGGCATATTGTTATCTTCAAAGTAGTTGCTCAGATTATCAGATATAGGCATGTAAAGTTGATCAAACAATATAAGCAATAACTGTTATTCTCAATAAACTAATAGAAATTAGTAATTCTTTTAACTATCTTGTGTGTATATAAATCTTTCCTTCTTTTTTCCTTTCCTCCATCCTAGTTTTTTCTTTTTGAGCAATTTCTATTGCATCTTTTGGATTTTACTTACTCTTTCAGTTTCTCTTTCTTTTTTTTTTTTTTTTGGCAGTACTGAAGACTGAACTCAGGGCCTTGCCCTTGCCAGGCAAGTGCTTATTCTACTGAGCTATCTTCCTGGCCCACTCTTTCAGTTTCTTACACTGAACAATACAACATTTACACATATGAGACTAAGGGCCAAGGAGATAGCTCAGCAGTATAAGTACCTGCCTGGCAAGCACAGGGTCCTGAGTTTGATTGTTGATTTTCAGAAAAAAAAAAAAAAAGCTGTACATGCAAGTCTGATTTATTTCACTTATGAGTATAGACTGTAGTTGCATGGGGGAATTTGGCAGAAGAAAAGTAAATTCCACAGAAAAGCAATACTATTGGCAAGGAGCAAGAAACTGTTGATTGATAATCACAATAGCTAGTTCTTCAAGATGAGTTCTTGCTTCATATCACTTAATCATATGAACAGCTAGAAATAGTTTAATTTACATAGGTTTTTATGTCTTTTCATATAAGGGACTTAAACTCAGAGTATACATCCCAGTTTTAGGTTGGATTGCAAATTTCCTGTGTAGATCTGCAGGTAGGGGTAAAATCTTATGATTTATTTCACTAGAGTATGGTCTCTAGTTGCATCCATTTACCTATCTTTATAGCTCAGTAATTTCCATTGTATAAGAATACTACATCTTTTTTTTACCCATTCTTTGGTTGATGGATGGGCACTTGGGTTGTTTCCAAGATTTAGATATGACAAATTGTGCTGCTATAAACATGGATGCACATATATTGCTATGGTATGATGCTTTCATTTCTTCTGGAAAAATGCCCAGAAAGGGAATGGCTGGATCAAATGGGACCTCTAGTCCTTGTTTTTTGAGGACTCTCCACACTGATTTCTGCTGTGGTTGCACTAGTCTATACTGCCACCAACAGTGGAAAAGGGTTTCTTTTTTCCCACAGCCTGCCAGCATGTGTTACTGATCTTTTGATGATAGACATTGTTTCTGGGGTGAGATGGAATCTCAGTGTTGTTTTAATTTGTATCTCTTGAATGACCAATGATGTTGAACATTTTTTCATGTATTTGCCATTTGTATTTCTTTTTCTGAGGAGTGTTATATTCATCTCAGATGTCCATATTTGGATTGGGTCTTTGAATTTTGGGCATCTGATTCTTTTTTTTTTTTTTTTTTTTTTTTTTTTTTGAGACAGGGTCTCACTATGCTGTTCAGGCTGGCCTCAAGCTCTCTTTGTAGCCCAGGCTGGTCTTGAATTTGGGACAATCCTCCTGCCTCAGCCTTCTGAATGCTGGGATTATAGGCATGTACCACCACACCTGGCAGGTTTGATTTTTTAAAATTCTTTATATGCTCTAGATAGAAGTCCTTTGTTTGAGGGACAATTGTCTAAGTTTTTTTTCTTAATTCATGGATTTCCTTTTCACTCTTGACTTGTAGCTGTTTAATAAGTAGAAATCTTCTATACATTTTAAAGGTTTTTTTTTTTTCTCCTTCAAGGTGGTGACGATGGTGATGAGGTGCCACAAATAGATGCTTATGAACTTTTGGAAGCAGTAGAGATCCTTTCCAAACTTCCCAAAGATTTTTATGACAAAATTGTGAGTAATGGCTAAACTTCTTTCATTTATTTTGTTTTAAATGATTACTTGCCTAGTGTACCACCTCCATCTATATCTCTCTAGCAGAGTGTATGAGTGGCTTCCTTTTCTTTGCTCCTACTTTTTATATATAAATGTTACCTTTTTTACATGTCTTGCCAAAAATTAGAGCATTATCCTCACATTTTTTTCAGTTACTTTTTGGTTTTACTTCAGAATATCTCTCAAATTTATTTCCTCTTTCCCATCCTGGCTGCTGTTTTTGTTGTTGTTATTGTTTTTTAAATATAAGGTCTCGCTATACAGCTCAAATTTGTAGTGATCCTCCTGTTGGTCTCCCTAGTGCTGGCATTACAGGTGTGCACCATCACATCCAGTTCCGAGGCCAGCACAGCACACCTATGGATCCAGAGCTGGCATGGCATGAGGTACTGGGAATTGAACTCAGGACCTTGTACTTGCTGACCCGGCACTTATGCTGCCAAGCTATCTCCCCAACCCTGGGCTGCTACTCTTTCAGTCCAGATTTTTTGACTTTGGTTCCTGATATTTTTTTCAGGAAACGATTTTAGTGAGGTCACGTGTATATTGTAGGATATTGGGCACCATTTGTTGCTTTTCCCAGTAGGACCAATAATATTCAATCATGACTAAACCATGACTATCAAAAATGTTTCCAGACATTGTTAAGTGACCCCAAGGACACAGAACCATCCCATAGTCTTATCCTAATCTCCACCATGAGCTCTTGTTATCTTTTTTAAAAGAATCTTTTTATTTTTTAAATCCTATTTATTTATGTATTTGGTACAGGGTCTCACTACACAGCTTGGACTCGTAGTGAGCCTCCTGTCTCAGCCTCTCCAGCACTGGGATTACAGGTGTGCACCATCACACCCAGTTTCAGTGGCTGGCACAGTGTACCTGAGAACCTGGGGTCTACTCAGCATGTGGTACTAGGGCTCAAAGTGAGATCTTTGCGCTTGTCAGTCAGGTGCTTAGACCTCTGAGCTGTCTCCCCAGCCCACTTTTGTCGTCTTCTGATTATATTCCACAATGTAATCAGAGGTATCATTTTTGAAAAATGCAAATCTTCCCCTATTAAACCTGATTAAAGCTCACCATGACTTCCATAGGTCTTTTCTCATTTTTTGAGACAGGGTCTCATTGTGTAGTTTGTTTGCTTGCTTGCTTTGAAGCTTAAGTTTATTTTGTAGAAGTAGCAAGTAGGACAGTGACCATTATCAGCTAATAAGAGAGAGGGGACTCAAATAGGTACCAAAATAAATTCACAGGAGGAACAGGAATTAGCGTTCTGTAGCACAGGAGAATGACGACTTTTCACAATTTATGAGGAACTAGAAGAGAGGTGTAAGAACGTTACAACATAGATAAGTGAAGGGTCAGGCTATGTGGTTCATATTAGCCTTGTACTCATTATGTAGCCCAGGCTGACCTTGAACTTGCAATGTTCCAAGTACATTTCCATGGGTATTAAGATGATGTCTTAAGTCATCTTATGACCACTAAAAAACCATGTGTGGCATTGGAAGCCACCACTTTCCTTCTTGCCATATATCTTATTGTCCTCACTCTCTTGTATCTGCCATTCTCTCTGTAGCAGATACACTGTTTTAAACTATCGACCTTAAGCCAGCCTGCCTGGCAAGGGCAAGGTCCCAAGTTCAATCCCTGGTACCACAAAAAGAAAAAAAAAACAAAAAAAAACCAGTGGCCCACTGTGACACTTGTGCCATAGGTTTGCCATCACAATGTTAGGGCTATGAAATCTTGTGAAAATATGTTTTATGTGTGAACAAAACTTATATATGAACAAAATAGCTTTATTGGCTATATATCTTTACAGAAAAATTTTCTAGTTATTTTAAAAAACAAATATATATTGCACTTAGGAGATTGAGGCAGGAGTTTTGCAAGTTCAAGGCCACCCTAAAGTGCATAGTGAGGGGCTGGGGCGATGGCTCAGTGAAATAAGCGCTTCCCTGGCAAGTGCAAGGGTCTGAGTTCAATCCCCGGTTCTGCAAAAAAAAAAAAAAAAAAAAAAAAAAAGAAAAAAACTCACATTGCCTGTAACTTAAAAAAAAAGTAAAATAAAATAAAAAAATTAAAAAAAAGGGGGGCCAGGGAGATGGCTCAGTGGAATAAGTGCTTCCCTGGCAAGCGCAAGGGCCTGAGTTCAATCCCCAGTTCCGCCAAAAGAAAAAACAAAAACAAAAACAAAAAAACAAAGTGCATAGTGAGACCTTATCTTAGAAATGAACAAACAAAAAATGTCTTTGAGTTAGTAGAGTATGGGAAATACTATTTAGCTCTCTTATTTTCTGTTGTATAAGTGCTCGTATGGTGTCTTGCAGGAGGCAAAAAAATGGCAAGAGAGAAAAGAAGCTCTGGAGGCTGTAGAAGTACTTGTGAAAAATCCCAAACTGGAAGCAGGAGATTATGCGGATTTAGTAAAAGCTTTAAAGAAGGTTTGTAGAAGCGGTAAAATAGCACATAAAAGTCAAAGTGTTAAGAAAGAATGAAAAGAAATCTTTCCAAACTAAATAAAATAGTAATTTAATTTTATTTTATTTTATTTTATTTTTTGTGGCTAGCTCAGCCCATCCTCAGGGTGGGGCTGGTGCATCACGTGGTGCTAGGGGTTTAACCACAGTCCCTGCACTTGCCTAAGCAGGTACTTTAGACAACTGAGCTGTCTCACTGGCTCTAATAATATGGCTGCTTTATTTTATTTTATTTATTTTTGGTACCAGGGATTAAAGTTAGAACCTGTGCTTGCCAGGTAGGTGCTGAGCTATCTCCGGGTTCTAATAGTAATTTTTAAATTCTAAGAAATAATATATCAAGAATTCTGTATGAAGACATTTTATTTAATAGACATCGTTGATTAACATTGTACTCAAGGCCAACAGCTCTATACCTCAGGCCTGAATGAAGCTTACTGAGGATATGTATTTCTTTTATGAGGCACTTGTGATCTTTTACACTTAGAAAGACTGTACAGCACTCCAGCAGTACTTGAGTACATGTGGGGCATTGCATCTACAGAAATGCAACAAATGTGGCACTAAATAGACCCTAAAAATGACACTTGTTTTTAGTGTGAGAGCTCAAAAAGGAAGGCAGAACATCATCTTGTCCTGGCCGAGCTGGGACATGCACACTGTACACATAGGTTTTCATGGCTCTGTACTTGTCTATGAATGAGCAGGAAGGTGCCATTGCACTGACTTGGGGCTATAAATAAATGTTAGCACCAGTACAGATCCGTGACTAATGGAAGGTCACTTCTATTTCCTAACACCATAGAAGTTGGCTTTCTTATGCTTTCCTCTGATTGGGACTTGAGGGAAAAGATATGATTTGTCAGATCTTTTTTTTTTTTTTTTTTTGGTACTGAGGATTGAACTCAGGACCTTGTGCTTGTCATGCAGGTGCTTGAGCTACAGTCTCATATAAGGTTAATTAAGAGGTAATTTCTCTGAGGGAAAAGGGGTTAGCTACCTGAGATCTGGAAGAAAACATGAGAGGGAGAAGACACTAAGAAATAGCTTTTTATTCTTTTTTTTTTTTTTACCTACCACATTATGTTTATTTATTTTTGCCATAATTTTATTTTTTTATTTTTTATTTATTTTTTTGCCATAGTTTTATTGATAAACAAATAGCAATGAGACAGTTTCAAATCAAATCGGTAGGACAGTTTCAATAATTAACACATTGCATACATTCTTCTTAGTGGTTAATTGCTGTACAGATGCGGACTTGATATCCTACTTACAAACACCATTAGAACAAATCATTCTATTCATTA